TCTTTTTTTTTTTTATAATAAATTTTATTTTCATATTCCCCCATACAATTGCAAATGCCCCATTCTGACCCCAATCCCTCCCCTCCCGGCCCCCACCCCCCAAAAAGTGTCTCTGGTTCATAGTTTTTTGTTGATTTTGATTTTCACTTTCTTATAGTTATTCATTTTCCTGGTCCCTTATTTAAGTTTTCTAGATTCCTGCTATGAGTGAGACCATCCGGTATTTTTCTTTTTCTTTCTGGCTTATTTCGCTGAGCATGATCCCTTCCAGCGCCATCCATGTTGCTGCAAATTGCATGTGTTTATCTTTTTTGAATGCTGAGTAATATTCCATGGTGTGTATGTACCACATCTTCTTGATCCAGTCATCTATTTTTGGGCATTTGGGCTGTTTCCAAAGCTTAGCTATTGTAAACAGTGCTGCTATAAACATAGGGGTGCAGGTTCTCTTTGGAATTAATGTTTCTGTGTCCTTTGGGTAAATACCTAGGAGTGGAATTGCTGTATCATATGGAAGAAATCTCCACACAGCTCTCCATAGTGGTTGGACCAGTTTACACTCCCACCAACAGTGTAAAAGAGTTCCTTTTTCTCCACAACCTCGCCAACATTTGTTGTTGCTAGTTTTTTTAATATGTGCCATTCTCACTGGTGTAAGATGGTATCTCATGGTAGTTTTGATTTGCATTTAACAGGACTAAGTTCTTTACAATGTGGTTGTGAGCTTTCTGTAACTGTGCAAAGCACCTGGCACATGGCCACGCCCTATTTCTGTTCGTTGCCTTTTTTTTTTTTTTTTTTTTTTACACAGTTAACTTCTAAACTTAGAGGAACACACATGGAGATTGTTCTTGGGACTTGGCTTCCTCTGGCTTGGTGCTTTTTCCAATTCATCCTGCAAAGCGGGTGCCTCAAAAGAGGATAGATGTTGGGCTGGTGCTCGTTTCTCCTCTCCGGGGGCCCGCTGTCGAGCGTGCTCCAGGGACTCCTACAGGAGCGACACGCGTCTGCCCGGGGACTGAGACATCTGGCAGGCCACTCAGGAGAATGGCATTTCCATCTGAAATGTGTGCGTAACCCTTCGGATGCCCAGGGTGTTGCTTGTTGTATCAGCAGTCAGCCCAAGCCTTGGCACGCACCACAAACTCTGATTTCTTTACTGGGAAGGTTTAGAATTAGTTGTGCAAGAATTCCCTGCCTAATTTTGTGACACCCTAGAGAGTCCTCCATTATTTCAAGGAGGTATTTTGACATTCTGTAAGCGAGAGTTTGTTTAAATCTTAGAGATTGAAGGAGAGAGCGAACGGCGCATGTCATTCAGCAAGGGGAGTTGATGTTGTCAAGCCTTCCCCGCTCTTCCACATTTCTAAGTCAAAGTGCCAAACCAGATCTTGGGATCTGAGGTGAAAGGGATAGATGTGTAATTCAGTTCCGTCTACAGCAGACCTTGACAGGGTATGCGGGCGGGTGACAGCCTCCACTTTGAGTACACTCACAGTACGTAGCTTCCTTATTTAAACAGCTGGGGTTTTCAGGCCTCCCCGGTAGCGCAGCGGTTGAGCTCTGGGTTGCGAAGCTGCCCGCAGCCTCTGCAGCGCCTGTTCGATCCCCGGCTGCTCCCCGGCCACCGGAGGAGGGTCCCGCATGGCGCGCAGACCTCTCCTGCCGCCCGCTGCTCCCCTCAGCAATGTACTTCAGTCCTTCTGCCTGCTCTGCTCCCTGCTCTGGCTCTGGTGAATTTTCTCACCCTCCCATGCTTCTGACTGTACCCAGTGCTTGTATGTATAAATAAATAAATAAACAAACAAACAAATAAATAAATATCTTTAAGTAAATAAATAAACTTTAAAAAAAAACCAGCTGGGATTTTCTTGTTGTTGGTTTTAATTTTTTAATTTCTCCTTATATTAACCAAATATGCATCTGAGTCTTCCTCTTCTCTCTCCCAGCATGAATCTATGAATCTCTGAAGCCATACAGACGAGCCTTCCCTTTCCATGAGAGAACGCCATAGGTTTTTGAAAATAGCTGTCACAGTACCCCGTTCTCCCTGTCTCCAGCTTGCACACCCCTGGAGCGTCACGGGAGGGCCATCATTAACTCGGGAAGTGCTCCAGGTTGTCAGTGTGTCCTGAGTCATCTATTTCGCCATCCGTTCATTCATTCTGCCTAGCCCCAGAACTTTCCCAAGATGACAGTGGACCACAGTGGTTACGAGCACAGGTTTTACAATCAGGCAGGCCTGACGGGCAAATTACTGAATTTTTCTGGGACTCAGCCTCTCCATCTGTGAAACGGGGTTCTTTACTCCCACACTCACAGATCTGTTGTCAGTCTGGAGTGAGATAATACAGATAAAGTACTTAAACAAGGGTCTGGTACATAGTAATTCAGTTGTTGGAGGCTAAATTTTCTAGCTTACATTGTTGGAACATACCATATCATTTTGTTCTGGTATTGAGGGGTAGAGGAAGTACAAGGTTAAAATTTGTCTTCTGTTTTTTGGAACTGTGATTCAGAGGCTTCGTGGTGGATTAGAAATAGCTTCTTTGCAGCTTCTCTTAACGTGCCCTATTTCATTCCTTAACAGCAGATTATTTGGAAGCCCAGTTTTATTGAGGAACAATGTTGTTGTGTTAGTTTTGATAGGCAAGTTCTGCAGGATTGAGATTACTAAAAAATGGGGGGAAATTCCTTAAATCCAGATGGTGGTCTTTGTATGGCAGTGGCAGCGCGCAGCCCCTCTGTTCCTTCAGCAAGAACTCACGTTACTGGGTGACTGCTGTATATGTTACTGGGTGACTGCTGTATACCACACTCTAGGCACTTCCCCTCCGCCATTCCATTTCACCCCACCATCACCACCACCACCTTGTGAGTGAGGCGGATGCTGTCACTTGGCCTGTCACAGAACTTACCAGTCAGGACTCAAGCCCAGGCCTGCCAGATTTCAAAGCTTAAATTCTTTATGTTGTGCTTAGTGTAAGTAGAAGATGCTGGGAGATTGGTTAAATTGTTTCTATAAAGACACAGCACATATTAACTTGCTTTTCCTTACTTCTTTGGTAAAAAGTTCTTTGGTAAAAAGTCCGAAGTCAAAGCCTGTTGTCTCAGGCAGTCCCCACTGGAGGAGACCAGCAGCCACACCCGCCACCGAAGAGTGTGTCACTTATTTTATAGGAGTAGGAGCATCACCACTCAGTGGGCCATCACCACTCAGTGGGCGGGGACAGGGACAGGCATTGTGGCAGGCACAGATCTTCCAGAGCCGGGGATGGCTCCCATAGCATTGTGGCCCTGGATCCCGAGCCAGCCGGCGGGCTGCGTGAAGACCAGCAGCCAGCAGTGGACCTGCGCCTTCCCCCATGTACACTGTATCTTCAGCTGGGTTGGTTTTGTGTGTCATGTGTTTGCACAGGAAGTCCTCAAAGAATCTCAGACTAAACAGGAAGTGATTTGTTTCCATCTAAATGGGTACCAGCAGGAATGGGGACTGGCAGGGTGAGGAGAGATAATGGTTGATCTGTGACCAGGCAGCTAGTTACTTGGCCCCTTCAATGGATTTTATGCAAAGATTCTAAATACTTTCACCTTTATGAGCTGAGCTGTTTCTAAATCTGCCCTGCTCAGCTGATCCCACTAACTCCAGTGAATGGCTGAGTCCATTTATCTTGATCCTACTTAGTTACCTTCTTCTTTAGTTTAACAAAAGGCCAAATTTTAGGTGTATTTCTGTAACTTTAGGGTGAGTAAGGGTGCTGGCCTTTGTATACAATATTTTTTCCCTCGTGTGAACTTCAAAATTGAAGAGCTGAATCCTTTTGGAGCAGAAGAGCCCAGTGTTCTGAGGTTGGGCCTGGAAGACAGGGGGCTTGGACGCCAACACTGTTGCTGATTAGACCCATCATTGAGGCACAGGGGACAGCTTTCTTTGGTAAAATGGAATGTGGTGAGGTTTAAAAGAAATAACAGGGCCTCCCCGGTGGCGCAGCGGTTGAGCGCTGGGTTGCGAAGCTGCCCGCGGCCTCCACGGCGCCGGTTCGATCCCCGGCTGCTCCCCGGCCACCGGAGGAGGGTCCCACATGGCACGCAGACCTCTCCTGACGCCCCTGCTCCCCTCAGCAGTGTACTTCGGTCCTTCTACCTGCTCTGCTCCCTGCTCTGGCTCTGGTGAATTCTCTCACCCTCCTGCGCTTCTGACTGTACCCAGTGCATGTATAAACAAAACAAAACAAACAAATAAATAAAAACATGCCTCTATTTAAAAAAAAAGTGTTAAAAGAAAAGAAATAACAGAAAAGAAATAATAAAATAAATAATAAAAGAATAATAAAAGAAATAATATCTGGGGCTTGCTTGGTGCATTGTAATCCCTGGGTGGTTCTTGCTGCTGCTCCTATTCCTATTACTACATGAGGAAAGTAATGGCTGTAAAAGAAAAAGAATTCTCTTCTTTGTTGTATTAGATTAGTTGGTTTTACCCTTACTTGACATGGAAGCCACTAGACGCTAACCCCAGACTAGTGCATTGAAGGCAGTTCTCACTTGGGGCTTTCAGCCCTGGCTCGCTGTCTTTTCTGGAAAGAGGAAATTATTCACTGTTGATTCCATCCTTTATCTCTCTTAAGATTTTAGCTATCCTTGAACGTTTAAAATCTATTATCTCTACGGGATGTTTGAAATACTTCCTGTGTACTCATGTGCCCTATAAAGGATGTGGATAGTCATCTTATTGTTGTTAAATAAACACGACCTGCTTCTTATAAACACCTTTGTTCTCATAATGCAGTCAAGGTGTGACTATGTGGCTATTGGTGGGATATTTGGAGACTAGAAAATACAGAATTAGTGACGTGAACAAATGGGGCTCTTTATCCTACTTGGAATCTTTCCAGCAGTTTTCACACGATTATGAGTTCCCTCTGGAAGAATTGCTGATATTTCAGTGGCATGTTGATTCTTACTTTGTCTTTGTGCTTTCTCTTTTCTTTCCTGGACAGAAACCAAAGCCCAAACCCCGGCCATCCATCACAAAGGCAACCTGGGAGAGTAACTACTTTGGGGTGCCCTTAACAACCGTCGTGACTCCAGAGAAGCCGATCCCTATTTTTATTGAGAGATGTATTGAGTACATTGAAGCCACAGGTAAGAGTGTTAACCTCTTAGCCAGCTGCAGCTTTCACTGTCTACAGGATGCTTTCTAGCAGGCCAGGCCATCTGGAAATTCTGGAATCAGCTCTTGTCTAGTGTGGGATGCCTTCTGAGAAGGAGTTGAGCAGTTCCGACAGCTGTCAAACTCCTGGATCCCCCATCTTCGTGCAGTCGTGTGCTGTCGTGCAGGATCTGTGAGCCATCTCTGCGGGCCGTTGCTCCCCGCCATAGCTTGCAGCCTGCTTGTCTGTGTCTGACTCAGACCTGTCAGCAACTTGAGGGCAGGGAAAAGGCTTTATGTTTGGCTCTGTGTCCTCAGCATGTACTGGACACAAATGGAATACAATTCGGTTTAATAACATGAATGAGTTGTTGTGAGTGTTAACAGCTCTAGGCTAGGGCTTCCCCGGTGGCGCAGCGGTTGAGCGCTGGGTTGCGAGGCTGCCCGCGGCCTCTGCCGCGACGGTTCGATCCCCGGCTGCTCCCCAGCCACCGGAGGAGGGTCCCACATGGTGTGCAGACCTCTCCTGACGCCCTCTGCTCCCCTCAGCAGTGTACTTGGGTCCTTCTGCCTGCTCTGCTCCCTGCTCTGGCTCTGGTGAATTCTCTCACCCTCCCGTGCTTCTGACTGTACCCAGTGCATGTATAAACGAACAAACAAACAAACAAATAAATAAATAAATAAAACATGCCTCTATTTAAAAAAAAAAAAAAAAAAAAAACAGCTCTAGGCTATTGATCAGGGCCCCAGAATTATGTATTGATTATGTATTGACAGGATTTTTCCCCCAGAGGTAAAGAACAACTAGGGTGCTTGGATACCTTCTAGTCAAGGAGCTGAATTTCAACTCCAGTGATAATTTGGTGTTATTACAAATGCAGACTGTCTGACAATTCTGAGATAACTATCCTTCAGAGCATGAGATTTGACTTGCGTTTAAAATGTTTATTTCATTCTCATGTAGGGTTCCCTAAATCTCTTTGGGCTCTTTTTTTTTTTTTTTTTAAAGATTTATTTATGTATTTATACAAGCACTGGGTACAGTCAGAAGCGCCGGAGGGTGAGAGAATTCACCAGAGCCAGAGCGGGGAGCAGAGCAGGCAGAAGGACCGAAGTACACTGCTGAGGGGAGCAGCGGGCGGCAGGAGAGCTCTGCACGCCATGCAGGACCCTTCTCCAGTGGCTGGGGAGCAGCCAGGGATCGCACCGGGACTGCAGAGGCTGCGGGCAGCTTCGCAACCCAGCACTCAACCGCTGCGCCACCGGGGAGGCCCTTTGGGCTCTCTTTTGAAACCCCTGAAACTTCCTGTTTCATCTCCTTATTTCCCCTGAAATGAACCTCCTTGCTTTCTCTTGGATGCTTTCAAAGTTGGTGAGTTTTGAGCAGAAGGTGGCATAGTAGGTACACAGGTCTGCAGGTTCTTGAGTATGGTTGAGGTCAAGAAACAGGTTTAAATCAATTTGAAACCAAGGTAGAAATTACAGCCTTCGTATGTGTTCTGATTCTGGCATTATCTGTAAGATATTAACTGTTTGTGGCATGGACAGCCTGCCAGACCCTTGATAATTTCAGCAGCTTCACATTCTGCTGAGGGACAGTGTTACTGTTTACTTAGGATGTGCGAGAAGAACCTATTGGGGAAGATAGGTTTCAGTTGGAGCCCGCTAAGGACTTAGAGTTCTTTCCAGGGTTTTCCCTGTAGCACACCAGGATTTGCAAAATTCCCCACCAGGATTTGCTCTGTTCCTGTTTCTCCATAGTGCCATGGAATTCACTGTGAGCACGTGGTGTAATCACAGCAAATATGCAGTTTTTCAGTCCATTCTGTACCCAAGGCCTTTTCTCAGTGTCCATCTGGTTTTGAGGCTGGTTTTTACATCACTTTCTTCCTGGTATCTCTCCCTCCCACAGGAGGAAGTCTACACAAAGCAAATTCTAGATATCGAAGCCTCTCCTTTTTGATCCATCACTGCAGAGAGATAACTGATGTCATTTTAAGGAGGTTGGAGGGGGTCCTCAATGTTTCATTTTGAAATAATTGCAGATCTTTAGGAAAATTGCAAAAATTATAAATTGGAACATATTGAAAATTACAGGTTCCTGATTTTTTTTTTTTAATGCATACAAGAGCTGGGGTGTAGGACAGAGGTGCAGGGGTGAGAGGATTCACCAGAGACAGAGTGGGAAGCAGAACAGGCGGATTGATTGAAATACACTGCTGAGGGGAACAGCGGGCGAGACAGGAGAGGTCTGCTGCGCCATGTGGGTCAGCTCCCTGGCCGGGGATCAAACTCGTGCTGCTGTGGCTGCGGATAGCTTGATAGTGCTGCAACTTAAACCCCTTGCGCCACCAGGGAGGACCCCCCCCCCCGCCCGGTTCCCTAAATTTTAACATTTTACCAGATTTCCTTTGTTGTTCTTTTTCTGTGTTTGTATCTTTTTTTCTGAATTGTAGAATTGCACATAGGATGTATCTTTAAATACTTCTGTGGGGATTTTTTAAAAACATTGTCTATATAACCTCCATGTAATTATCAAAACGAGGACATTAACATTATTCAGTAAGAACCCAATGATAGACTTTCATTTCATCAGTTGTCTCATTAACATCCTTTATTACAAAAAACAGAATTTTTTTGATCCAGGGGCTAATCCCAGACCGCACATTGCATTTAGTTACCAAAACGGTTCAGTCTGTGCTTTTCATCATCTTGATAGTTTTAGAGAATAATTTAGGGTTCACTTAATTTGTAGATGATTGTTGATGACGTTGTAGATGATTCCTCTACTTGGGTTTGTTGTTGTTTTAATGTTGCCTCTTGATTAGATTTAGGTTCACACTTCGGCACAAGCAGCGTCCTTCCCGGTGTGAGGCTCTGGGCGGCACCCATGTGTCAGGCGCTGGAGGTCTGCAGTCAGCCCCTGGTTCAAATGTTGGCGCTCTAGCCTTCTCGCCTGTTAAGCTGCTCCCTGGGCAGGTCACTTGGCGGGTCCCGAAGTGTCCGTGTGGAGGTGCTTTGACACTGTGTGTCTGGCTTCTCCTGCATGCACCCCCTCATGTGGGCATCATTGATGACTCTCACCTGAGGAAATGGTCACGATGTTTCTAACTCTCTGAGACCTGTACCCATTAGTTGGACTTCTCCACTCAGGATGGCCTCCTCAAGGGGCTCGCTTGTGGTGGCACCAGGGTTGGCATAGTACCCTCTAGCTGAGCTCTTCAGTGTCTTGACCTACCGTGCCCGCCTGGCGCCTCTCCTGGGACTGTGGTGAACGCTTTTTCCATCCAGGGACAAAGGGCCACCTCCTGGTGTAGGTCTACTTGCGAACCTTTTCAGGTAGAGAGCCTCTCCGGCCCTGGCCCCCAGCCTGCCACCAAGCCAGTCCTTCCCTGAAAGCTCTGCTAGATGTCCCCCTCACCCCCCACGATCCCCCATGTTGCCAAAAGGCATGGCACTTCGGGGTCCTCTGGGGCTCTGTTCCTACTCTCTCACTTCTGCTTCGTCATTGCTTGGCTCTGTTCCCCACTTCATTTCTACTGCCTCCCCCTCGTCCCCCTTCTTCTCAGTCCATCCTGATTAGGAGCAGCTCCTCTGCTAAAGGCTGCCTCTCGCTTCCTCTCTGCCGCTCATGCTGCAGCTCCCCTGTGTGCGCAGTGCTGTTATGTCGGGGTGGTCGGCTCCCCGCACTCCTCTTTCTCTCTCTCCCTTCATTCTTTTCTCTCCTCTCTTTCTGCTTTATATGCTTCAAGTTTTAATTTTAAAATGGTTTGTGCTTTTTTTTTTTTTAAAGATTTATTTATTTATACACGAAGTGGGGTATAGGCCAGAGGCACAGGAGGGTGAGAGAATTCACCAGAGACAGAGCGGGGAGTAGAACAGGCGGAACGACCAAAAACACTGCTGAGGGGAGCAGAGGGTGAGACAGGAGAGGTCTGCTGCGCCATGTGGGTTTCTCCCTAGCTGGCCGGGAATCGAACCCGTGCTGCAGAGACTGCAGACAGCTTCACAGTGCTGCGCTCAATCCGCTGCACCACTGGGGAGGCCCTAAAAATGGTTTGGAAGAATACAAGCAGTGTGGGAGAAGTGTGTGGACAGGCAGTTTCTTTGTATTTCCTGCTTTGCTTGGCCCTTCTGGCCTTGGAAGTGTGTCGGGCCTGCTTGCGCTGGCTCCTTCAAGGCGCCTCCACCCCTGGAAGGCTTTGAAGACCTCCTGGTGACTTCACGGACACTTTCCAACCTCCTGAGAGCAGGATGCTCTGTTCTTATTTTTCCATAGTTAGGACACAATATACATTATTATTGATTGAGTGGTTTTCAGTCTGGAATACCTTAAATTCCTTTGTTTTCCTTTTAACTCTGAGTCATATACCTCTCCTCGACATTCATACAGTTCTCCTCGGCTTTAATAGAACTTTAGGGAAAAGTTAAACTTGTGACCTGCAAACTAAGGATATGTGCTTGGGGGGATTGTCTTTATAGAATCTATTTCCTAATTTTTTCCCTCTTTATAAAAAGTAGAAATTTAAAAGGTAAATTGGGCAAAGATTTTAAAGATTCTTCACTTGGTAAAACCAGTTAATGGTTTGATTTTTTTATATGTGATTTTCTTATAGTTTTATTTCTCTGCAGATGTGTATAGGCATTTATATTTATAATTCAGAGTATGTGGTGTGGTAGTTTTTGAGCCTACCTTATTACTTAGAGGAGGCCCAGGAACGCTGCCCAGCACTTACTACTCATGTTTTCCTGCAGACCGGGAATTCCGTAACTGAGGCCTGGATCGGGCATTTTCTGAGAATCGCTGCTTTTCAAATCAGACATTGTTTTGTGAGCATGTTCCTAGCATTAAATACTCTGACAATATGACTTTAATTACTGCATAACATCCTATTAAATGACTCTGTCACCAATTATTTCACATTCCTCTTATTGTAGCATTTTCTCCTGAAGTACTTAAAGAAGCAGATTAGCTAGGAAGAGCATTTTGCAG